CGGTTAGTGGAGTCAGGACCCAGGAGATCTGGGGACTGTTGCCTCCACTGGCGGGTGAAGCCAGATTCTGGGGCTAGTGCTGGCCCACTAGTAGGCAGAGCCAGGTCTTGGGATCTGGCTGCCAGGCCTAGGGCTCCAGAGCTGGTGTCCAACCACTGGTAGATTCGATTGCTTCCTGACACAGCTGGCCATGGTGTCTCGGGTATTTTGAACCTTGTGTTGGCCTGCTGATGGATGGGCTGGGTCCTGCCGTGGCAGATGTGGGACTGTGGCTTTTCTGTGGTTGGTGTCCACTTGTAGGTGGGTGAGGCTGGTCCCAAGGCTTGAGCAGGCTCAGTTGTGGGCTGAGGCCCAGTGCGTTCTGAAGCTGGTGCCTGGCCACTGGGAGACAGAGCTGGGTCCTGGGGCCCCAGGTCTATTCCCTGTGTACCCGTGTATGGTGCTGGGTCCTGGGCCTCTGGTTGGCAGAGACATGTACAGGGGTGATTGTGGGCTCAGGAAGCCTTAAGGCAGCCTGTCTGCTGGTGAGCTGTGTCCCCACCCCTTGCCGCTTGGCCTGAGGAATCCTAGGACCGGTGCCTATAGGCTGCTAGGTCAGAGAAGGGATGGGTCCTGAGGCTGATAAGCTAAAGGAGGATTCCAAAATGGTTATTGTCAGCAGCAGTGCCCATATGGCAGAACCAGCTCCCCAGACTGGTCACCTTCAGGGCCTGTGTCCCTAGAGCGTGCTGCACTTGCTCTTCCCTCTCCAGGAGACTCCCTAAGGTCAGCACATAAGTGTGATCAGCCTCCTTTCAACTGGTTGTTTCTGCTCCGAGTCCTGGAACTTGTAAGATTTTGTGTGCGCCCTTTAAGAATGAAGTCTCTATTTCCCACAACCCGCCACAACCCTTTACCAAGTAAGTCATGCTGGCCTTCAAAACTAAATGCTCTGGGGCTCATCTTCCCGGTTTAAGATCCTGAGCTCGGGAGCCTGATGTGGTGCTCAAACCCCTCACTCCTTAGGGAGAACTGCTGCAATTATAATTATTCTCCCATTTTTGGATCACCTACCTGGGTGTATGGGTCTTCACTATAACCTAGTTGTGCGCCTTCTACTTATCTTGTTATGATTCCTTCTTTGTATCTTTAGGTGTGGGAGATCTTTTCTGTTAGGTTCAAGTCTTTTTCATTGATAGTTGTTCTGTAAATAGAGAAGTTCGAGTGTGTGAATGAGAGGAGGTAAACTCAGGGTCTTTCTACTCCACCATCTTGGGAACTGGCCCCTAAAGAGAGCCATTATTAAATTAAAATTACATTAAGTTAAAAATCAAATAAGTCATATTAGAAACAAAAGTAGGACATATTCAGAATTCACCACATTCTCATTTTACTGGATTTTGCTATAATATATGCTCTTGTGGCTATTTACATTTATTTGTTTGGTGGAAATATGTACATCTTTTACTAATTAGATGTTCAGTGACAAGTCAGGACTATACTCATTCAATTGCAGCCATAGGTTGTTTATGGCTACGAAGTTATGGTAAAAACTAGCAAATGCATTCTATGAGATCAGTTGACTATGTAGAATTTACAATAAAAAATCATGCATGTTGTTTTAATTCCTAAATTATTTGAGGTACATCTTTTATATCAATAAAATCTATAATAAGCATATATACATGCATCCAGGCTTCCCAGGTGGTGCTAGTGGTAAAGAGCCACTCTGCCAATGCAGGAGACATAAAAGACATGCGTTGAACCTTTGGGTCAGGAGGATTCCCTGCAGGAGAGCATGGCAACCCGCTCAAGTATTCTTGCCTGAAGAATCTCAGAATCTCAGAGGAGCCTGGCAGATTATAGTCCATAGGGTCGCAAATAGTTGGACATGACTGAAGAGACTTAGCATGCACACACTCATATGTGCATCCATCCCCAACCCAACCTCCCACAAGCCCCTGAGATCCAACTGTGAACTTCTACTAGGGCATCACTGCATTGAGGGCTTCATTTCGGGTATATTAGAGAAGAATTATATAACATTTGAACTAACTGAATCCAAGGAGCCCTGTTTTTTGCTCTTTATAACAAATATGTTGCCTCAAATCCTGTGTGCACCTACATATAATTCTTAGAAGATAGTCTCTAGACAGTTTTATTAACACTTCACCTATATGGTAATTTATCTCTCTCAACCTATATTGATATTTTTAGGATTTGAGTTTTGAGCACCTGTATTATGTCACAGCTCAGAGTATAACTATTCCAATGAAGATAAACTCAACTTTCTTGGTTCATTATTATTTACATTTTATAGCACTTTTTCTCTGTTATTGCCTAGTTATAAATGTATTTAATCATCCTTAATTGTTTATATGGTTATTACAGATTTTTTATAAAGGATCACTCTCTTCATTATAAATTTTATCTCTTCTAGGAATTTAGGTTCTTGAGTGTTGAATTACATTTTTTGTTATCCATATATAAAAGATACTGTAGTTATCAAAGTTCAGCTATTATTATAGAAACCTTATACAATAGAAAAGAAGTTGGGTATCCTAAAACACTTTTTGGCTTTGTGCCCATGGACAAATCACATGACATCCCCAAACCTCAGTGTCCTAATCCACACAATGGGAATTTAATTTGGCAAGTTTATTGACCATTAAGACAATTAAGACATGGCTCCTGACCTTAGGGTGTTGCAATTAGATCTAAAACTATTTCTAATTCTTTGTGACGGACACTAATAATAGCTGTATCATGAGTACAGAGTTATGTGAAAAACTAGAGGTAACAAATCATCATGTTCTGTGAACAAGGAAAGGACTGTACCATAAATATGTAAAGTACAATTTCTCATAGAGCTTTTGGGTCCTGGTTATTGGGTGCTTTATGGCACTTGGAAAAATGCCTACCAAAGGAATGAACTGTGCAGTACGCCAGCTGGGCTGAAGACTCCACGTCTTTAGGAAAAGTCTAGCTCTGCTGCTGCACGGCTATGTTTAAATTTCTTAATAAACATGGTCCCGTTGGCCTAATGAATGCATGTGTGCATGCTCAGTCATGTCCGACTCTTTGCGACCCCGTGGACTGTGGCCTGCCAGGCTGCTCTGTCCCTGGAATTCTCCAGGCAAAAATACTGGAGTAGGTTGCCATTCCCTTCTCCAGGGGATCTTCCTGACACAGGGATCAAACCCAGGTCTCCAGCATTGCAGGCACATTCTTTACCATCTGAACCACCAGGGAAGTAGTTATAAAATTTAGTCTTATTATGGTACAAGGTGTTCAAGTAAATATAATACTTCTTTCATAGAACCAAATCATGCTGTTTTATTAGTCTGAAACTTTTCTAGGTGTTTAATCTTAGCATCTATGGCTGCTGCATTTGGTCTTTTCTAAAGCCTTCAGAGTGATGGCAACTACCCTGTTAATTCATGTTACAGGTGAAGCAACATGCATAGAAGTGATCATAATTTGAGGCCAAGTAGAAGCAATTCTTTTATTGGTTATGAGAAAATGTTTATAATTGAGGTTTTTTTTAAGAAAGGAAAGCATGTCTATTACTGTACATGTTACACCCATTCATTAAAAATTTTTAGACAATACTGAACAGTAGAAATATAATCACTTGCTCATCCATCACCCAAATATCATCACTTTTGACTTCTTGGTATCTATTCCTCCTATCCTTATCTATGAAAATTTTTATGTGGTTGTGAAACTCTGTGATGTATAGTTTTATACCCTGCTTTTTCATTTAATGTTGTAACAAAAGCATTTTCTAAGCTATTAAACATCTTTTCAAATGTCCATTTATGTGACAGCATATATTTTATTGGGGGAATGTGTCACATTTGTGCCTGGTCTTTGAAATACAATACTGAAGCTTTTTGGAGTTTATATGAATGTTGACTCTGCTTTAATCACTGAGAGAGATTATATTCTTCTTCCAATTACACTGACATTCCTTCAGTTATTTTTGAAATGATGTCTTTGGAAACACCTTCAAAATATCCCAGAAAATTGATGTCTTTATCAGTATACAATTTAAAAGAATACCTAGTTTTAGAAAAATATAGTTTTATCTGCCTTGTTTCTTTTAATTAACTAAGGGTGTGACTTTTGGCCATTTCTATTATCCAAATCCACCTTAAGGAAAAAGCAACTATTAACACCGAAAACCCTGAAGAGAATACTGAGCAGGCTTTAATGGCAATTTCCAAAGAGAAGTTTGAAAATACTTTGTGAAATGGCTGTATGTCAGGATAAAGTATGCTTTCTTACCGAGTGACTGTTTGAGGTGGAAAAAAAGAAAACAAGAATTCACTTGATCAGGTTTCACCATGTTTGTTAAGAAACAGGTATTTTATGTTGTAGTCATCCTGTCATCTCTGAAGACGCTCAGGTGTTGATTGTTGACAAAGTCCTAGGAATTTGAAGTCTCTCAAGCTGCTTTGCCCCTCAGGTATCCCCTGGAGTTTCAAGGTTCTCAATTTGGACACTGCCGTTACAGACCCACTCTTAAAGATGTCGCTGCTCTGATGTTAGAAGTAGAAAATCCTCCAAGATCTTGACAGAATCCGTTATTGGTCAGGAAAAGAAAAGAAAACAAAAACCAAAACCACCGCCTCAGGCCTTTCTTATCCAGGAAACTTGTGCTGTTTGGCGTCTCCCTTATTTATTAATGACCACTGATCACAGAATCCTGTGCTGGGTGTCAAAGTCTGCCTTGATAAGAGAGCATTTCAGGGCCATCTTTAGTAGCTTGAATATCAGGAAATGGTGAAATGCTGAAAAAAGCAGCCGTTTAGTAGTCAGGGGCCTGAAATGCTAATAAATGTTACGCCTCCTTCCAACTTAAACAATCTCTTCCTTTCTGCCTCGCGCTCTCCTTTCGTAAAACGGAGGGAAGAGCTGTGGAGGACTTTCTGTGAGATGGCCTCCAGGCCGCCACTAGGCTCTGTGACTCTGTGGCTCTGCAGGTTGGTCAGGAGGGCCCATCAGGGGAGTTCAGGATGGTCTCAGTTCTGGTGACGCTTGTTTTACTGAGGTACAAAGACTCAGGAGAACTTTCTTTTTTTTTTTACTTTTTAATCCTAGCAGATTTTTATTTATTTATTTATTTATTTATTTATTTTTCCATTTATTTTTATTAGTTGGAGGCTAATTACTTTACATCATTGCAGTGGTTTTTGTCATACATTGACATGAATTAGCCATGGATTTACATGTATTCCCCATCCCGATCCCCCCTCCCACCTCCCTCTCCACCCGATCCCTCTGGGTCTTCCCAGTGCACCAAGTCCGAGCACTTGTCTCATGCATCCAACCTGGGCTGGTGATCTGTTTCACCCTAGATAATATCCATGTTTCGATCCTGTTCTCTTGAAACATCCCACCCTCGCCTCCTCCCACAGAGTCCACAAGTCTGTTCTATACATCTGAGTCTCTTTTTCTGTTTTGCATATAGGGTTATCGTTACCATCTTTCTAAATTCCATATATATGTGTTAGTATACTGTAATGGTCTTTATCTTTCTGGCTTACTTCGCTCTGTATAATGGGCTCCAGTTTCATCCATCTCATTAGAACTGATTCAAATGAATTCTTTTTAATGGCTGAGTAATATTCCATGGTGTATGTGTACCACAGCTTCCTCATCCATTCGTCTGCTGATGGGCATCTAGGTTGCTTCCATGTCCTGGCTATTATAAACAGTGCTGCGATGAACATTGGGGTGCACGTGTCTCTTTCAGATCTGGTTTCCTCGGTGTGTATGCCCAGAAGTGGGATTGCTGGGTCATATGGCAGTTCTATTTCCAGCTTTTTAAGAAATCTCCACACTGTTTTCCATAGTGGCTGTACTAATTTGCATTCCCACCAACAGTGTAAGAGGGTTCCCTTTTCTCCACACCCTCTCCAGCATTTATTGCTTGTAGACTTTTGGATAGCAGCCATCCTGACTGGCGTGTAATGGTACCTCATTGTGGTTTTGATTTGCATTTCTCTGATAATGAGTGATGTCGAGCATCTTTTCATGTGTTTTTGTGCCATCTGTATGTCTTCCTTGGAGAAATGTCTGTTTAGTTCTTTGGCCCATTTTTTGATTGGGTCATTTATTTTTCTGGAGTTGAGCTGGAGGAGTTGCTTGTATATTTTTGAGATTAATCCTTTGTCTGTTGCTTCGTTTGCTATTATTTTCTCCCAATCTGAGGGCTGTCTTTTCACCTTGCTTATAGTTTCCTTTGTTGTGCAAAAGCTTTTAAGTTTCATTAGGTCCCATTTGTTTATTTTTGCTTTTGTTTCTAAAATTCTGGGATGTGGGTCATAGAGGATCCCACTGTGATTTATGTCAGAGAGTGTTTTGCCTATGTTCTCCTCTAGGAGTTTTATAGTTTCTGGTCTTACATTTAGATCTTTAATCCATTTTGAGTTTATTTTTGTGTATGGTGTTAGAAAGTGTTCTAGTTTCATTCTTTTACAGGTGGTTGACCAGTTTTCCCAGCACCACTTGTTAAAGAGGTTGTCTTTTTTCCATTGTATATCCTTGCCACCTTTGTCGAAGATAAGGTGACCATAGGTTCGTGGATTTATCTCTGGGCTTTCTATTCTGTTCCATTGATCTATATTTCTGTCTTTGTGCCAGTACCATACTGTCTTGATGACTGTGGCTTTGTAGTATAGTCTGAAGTCAGGCAGGTTGATTCCTCCAGTTCCATTCTTCTTTCTCAAGGTTACTTTGGCTATTCGAGGTTTTTTGTATTTCCATACAAATTGTGAAATTATTTGTTCTAGTTCTGTGAAAAATACCGTTGGTAGTTTGATAGGGATTGCATTGAATCTATAGATTGCTTTGGGTAGAATAGCCATTTTGACAATATTGATTCTTCCAATCCATGAACACGGTATGTTTCTCCATCTGTTTGTGTCCTCTTTGATTTCTTTCATCAGTGTTTTATAGTTTTCCATGTATAGGTCTTTTGTTTCTTTAGGTGGATATACTCCTAAGTATTTTATTCTTTTTGTTGCAATGGTGAATGGTATTGTTTCCTTAATTTCTCTTTCTGTTTTCTCATTGTTAGTGTATAGGAATACAAGGGATTTCTGTGTGTTAATTTTATATCCTGCAACTTTACTACATTCATTGATTAGCTCTAGTAATTTTCTGGAAGAGTCTTTAGGGTTTTCTATGTAGGGGATCATGTCATCTGCAAACAGCGAGAGTTTCACTTCTTCTTTTCCTATCTGGATTCCTTTTACTTCTTTTTCCGCTCTGATTGCTGTGGCCAACACTTCCAAAACTATGTTGAATAGTAGTGGTGAGAGTGGGCACCCTTGTCTTGGTCCTGATTTCAGGGGAAATGCTTTCAATTTTTCACCATTGAGGGTGATACTTGCTGTGGGTTTGTCATATATAGCTTTTATTATGTTGAGGTATGTTCCTTCTATTCCTGCTTTCTGGAGAGTTTTAATCATAAATGGATGTTGAATTTTGTCAAAGGCTTTTTCTGCATCTATTGAGATAATCATATGGTTTTTATCTTTCAATTTGTTAATGTGGTGTATTACATGGATTGATTTGTGGATATTAAAGAATCCTTGCATTCCTGGGATAAAGCCCACTTGGTCATGGTGTATGATTTTTTTAATATGTTGTTGGATTCTGTTTGCTAGAATTTTGTTAAGGATTTTTGCATCTATGTTCATCAGTGATATTGGTCTGTAGTTTTCTTTTTTTGTGGCATCTTTGTCTGGTTTTGGAATTAGGGTGATGGTGGCCTCATAGAATGAGTTTGGAAGTTTACCTTCTTCTGCAATTTTCTGGAATAGATTGAGTAAGATAGGTGTTAGCTCTTCTCTAAATTTTTGGTAGAATTCAGCTGTGAAGCCATCTGGTCCTGGGCTTTTGTTTGCTGGAAGATTTCTGATTACAGTTTTGATTTCCTTGCTTGTGATGGGTTTCTTAAGATCTTCTATTTCTTCCTGGTTCAGTTTTGGAAAGTTATACTTCTCTAAGAACTTGTCCATTTCTTCCAAGCTGTCCATTTTATTGGCATAGAGCTGCTGGTAGTAGTCTCTTATGATCCTTTGTATTTCAGTGTTGTCTGTTGTGATCTCTCCATTTTCATTTCTAATCTTGTTAATTTGGTTCTTCTCCCTTTGTTTCTTAATGAGTCTTGCTAATGGTTTGTCAATTTTGTTTATTTTTTCAAAAAACCAGCTTTTAGCTTTGTTGATTTTTGCTACGGTCTCTTTAGTTTCTTTTGCATTTATTTCTGCCCTAATTTTTAAGATTTCTTTCCTTCTACTAACCCTGGGGTTCTTCATTTCTTCCTTCTCTAGTTGCTTTAGGTGTAGAGTTAGGTTATTTATTTGACTTTTTTCTTGTTTCTTGAGGTAGGCCTGTAATGCTATGAATCTTCCCCTTAGTACTGCTTTTACAGTGTCCCAAAGGTTTTGGGTTGTTGTGTTTTCATTTTCATTCATTTCTATGCATATTTTGATTTCTTTTTTGATTTCTTCTATGATTTGTTGGTTATTCAGAAGCGTGTTGTTTAGCCTCCATATGTTTGAATTTTTAATAATTTTTTTCCTGTAATTGAGATCTAATCTTACTGCACTGTGGTCAGAAAAGATGACTGGAATGATTTCAATTTTTTTGAATTTACCAAGACTAGATTTATGGCCCAGGATGTGATCTATTCTGGAGAAGGTTCCGTGTGCACTTGAGAAAAAGGTGAAGTTGATTGTTTTGGGGTGAAACATCCTATAGATGTCAATTAGGTCTAGCTGGTCCATTGTGTCCTTTAAAGTTTGTGCTTCCTTGTTCATTTTCTGTTTAGTTGATCTATCCATAGTTGTGAGTGGGGTATTAAAGTCTCCTACTATTATTGTGTTACTATTAATTTCCTCTTTCATACTCGTTAGCATTTGCCTTACATATTGCGGTGCTCCTATGTTGGGTGCATATATATTTATAATTGTTATATCTTCTTGGATTGATCCTTTGATCATTATGTAGTGTCCATCTTTGTCTCTTTTCACAGCCTTTATTTGAAAGTCTATTTTATCTGATATGAGTATTGCGACTCCTGCTTTCTTTTGGTCTCCGTTTGCGTGGAATATTTTTTTCCAGCCCTTCACTTTTAGTCTGTATGTGTCCCTTGTTTTGAGGTGGGTCTCTTGTAGACAGCATATATAGGGGTCTTGCTTTTGTATCCATTCAGCCAGCCTTTGTCTTTTGGTTGGGGCATTCAACCCATTTACATTTAAGGTAATTATTGATAGGTATGGTCCTGTTGCCATTTATTTTGTTGTTTGGGGTTCACGTTTATACCACCTTTCTGTGTTTCATGTCTAGAGAAGATCCTTTAGTATTTGTTGAAGAGCTGGTTTGGTGGTGCTGAATTCTTTCAGCTTTTGCTTGTCTGTAAAGCTTTTGAGTTCTCCTTCATATCTGAATGAGATCCTTGCTGGGTAGAGTAATCTAGGTTGTAGGTTATTCTCTTTCATTACTTGAAGTATGTCCTGCCATTCCCTTCTGGCCTGAAGGGTTTCTATTGATAGATCAGCTGTTATCCTTATAGGAATCCCTTTGTGTGTTATTTGTTGTTTCTCCCTTGCTGCTTTTAATATTTGTTCTTTGTGTTTGATCTTTGTTAATTTGATTAGTATGTGTCTTGGGGTGTTTCGCCTTGGGTTTATCCTGTTTGGGACTCTCTGGGTTTCTTGGACTTGGGTGGCTATTTCCTTCCCCATTTTAGGGAAGTTTTCAGCTATTATCTCCTCAAGTATTTTCTCATGGCCTTTCTTTTTGTCTTCTTCTTCTGGGACTCCTATGATTCGAATGTTGGGGCGTTTCACATTGTCCCAGAGGTCCCTGAGGTTGTCCTCATTTCTTTTGATTCTTTTTTCTTTTTTCCTCTCTGCTTCATTTATTTCCACCATTTTATCTTCTAACTCACTTATCCTATCTTCTGTCTCTGTTATTCTACTCATGGTTCCCTCCAGAGTGTTTTTGATCTCATTTATTTCATTATTAATTTTTAATTGACTTTTTTTTAATTTCTTCTAGGTCCTTGTTAAACATTTCTTGCATCTTCTCAATCTTTGTCTCCAGGCTATTTATTTGTAACTCCATTTTGTTTTCAAGATTTTGGATCATTTTTATTATCATTATTCTAAATTCTTTTTCAGGTAGATTCCCTATTTCCTCCTCTTTTGTTTGACTTGGTGGGCTTTTTTCATGTTCCTTTAGCTGTTGGGTATTTCTCTGTCTTTTCATCTTGTTTAGATTGCTGTGTCTGGAGTGGGCTTTCTGTATTCTTGTGGTCTGTGGTTCCTTTTTATTGTGGAGGTTTCACGCAGTGGGTGGGGTTGGATGATTGGTTTGTCAAGGTTTCCTGGTTAGGGAAGCTTGTGTCAGCGTTCTGGTGCATGGAATTGGATTTCTTCTCTCTGGAGTGCAATGGAGTGTCCAGTAATGAGTTTTGCGATGTGTCTATGTGTTAGGTGTGACTTTGGACAGCCTGTATGTTGACACTCAGGTCTATGTTCCCGCGTTGCTAAAGAATTTGCGTGGTATGTCTTGTACTGGAGCTTATTGGTTCTTGGGTGGTGGTTGGTTTTGGTGTAGGTATGGAGGCTTTTGGATGGTCTCTTATTCCTTAATGTTCCGTGTAGTCAGGAGTTTTCTGGTTTTCTCAGGTTTTGGGCTTAAGTCTCCTGCCTCTGGATTTCAGTTTTATTTTTCCAATAGTCTCAAGACTTCTCCAACTATACAGCACTGATAATAAAACTTCTAGGTTAATGGTGAAAGGATTCTCCAACGTGAGAGACACCCAGAGAGGTTCACAGAGTTACATGAAGAATAGGAGAGGGAGGAAGGAGATAGAGGTGAGCAGGAGGAGAAAAAGGGGACTCAAGAGGAGAGAGACAGATCTACGCAGTTATCTGTTCCCAAAGTGTTTTCCGTAGCCCAGACACCCACAAAGATTCACAGAGTTGGATTGGGAAGAGAAGGGGAAAGGAGGAAATAGAGGTGTTCCAAGGTAGAAAACAGAGAGTCAAAAGTGGGAGAGTAATCACCACACTCCTGAGTAGAAATGGGAACTTAATATTGGATTCTTAAATGACCAAAATTTATATCACATACTACTGAAAAACAAAGATTAAAAATCTAGTGTAGAGGTTAGACTCTTTGAAATACAATATTTAAAAACAAAAACACACAAAAAAATTTAGAAATGTATATGAAGTTTGGTTTAAAAATAGGGTTTCTCTCTCTCTCTCTTTTTTTTTTTGGCAATGTTATAGTGAAACGAAAATGAAAATTAAGGAATAATAGAGGAGTATTAGAGGATTTTAAAAGGAAATAGGAGAGAAAAACAAGAAAAAGAAAAAAAAAGAAAAAAAAATTTTTCCCTAATTAAAAAAATCATAAAAATATATGAAAATGAAAGTTGAGTAATGGGGGAGTAATAGGGAAATTTAAAAGGAAATAAAAGAGAAAAATAAAAAATAAAATAAAGGAAAGAAAAAAAAAATTTTTTTTTTTAATTAAAAAAAAACCATATATATCTAGGAATTTCTCTGGAGTTGTTGCGGTCAGCGTAGGTTCAGTTCAATTTCAGACAGCTCCTCTTTCCAGCTTACACTTCTCGACATCTGTAGGCCCCTTCCGGTGTAGTCGGTGTTACCTTCAGGGATTTTAATCTGTTGCACCGGTCCTTTCTGAAGCGGCTCCCTTTGTTTATTTGGCTTCTGTTTGCCGTCTCTTTGGTGTCTAATTTCCGCCCTGACACAGGCGGGCGGAGGTGATCTCTTATTTAGGTTCTCTAGTTCAGCTCAGTCCTGCTACGGGGAGGGCGGGGCGCTGCAGACAGATGCCGCTCTGTGTGGATAGCACTCACCGTGTTCCGGCCACACTGGGTTTGCCCCGCTCACGGGTGTCAGTGCTTTCCCCGTCTACACTGCTCAGGCTCCCGGCTGCTCCATACGGAGCGGGCCCGGCGTTGAAAAGGCACAGGCCTGAAGAACAAGTACCAGTGTGGTAGCAAGGCGATAAAAACTCTCCCACGTGAATCGTCGTATTCTTGACACGGCTCCTTGAGGTATCAACTGGAATTTTAACTATCCCTGGCAAGTTCTTGATGCTGTGAATAGAGACTTTGAAGTGCAGAGACTCCCTCTGCCTAGTTCTCCTTTTCCACCAACCCAGCGAGGGGAGGCTTAGTCTGGGTTGGGATAAGGAGGACTTGTGACCCCTCTAGGGGATTCTCCAGGGCCCGCTTAACTCGCCAGCGCGATGAAGGCTCAGATGCGCGGAGAGGGTGAGGCTAGGATGGATTGGGACGAGAGAGCGCAGTTTCAGCGGTGGTCCAGAACAAACGAAAGGACAGGAGTTCCCAGGGAGAGTTAGGAAGCGCCTTTCAAGAGTGAGAGGACTTCTGACAGCCCTGGGCCAGTCCCCAGCCGTCTGAGGGCGCGAGCACGCGAGGAGCGGGATGGGACGCGGCTTCCAGCGCGCACCGTGGAGCCCACATCGCACGCGTCGCAGTGCGAGGCAGAGCCGACTAAAGCAGGGAGCGGGATGCCAGACCAGCCGGCCAGGAGCAACGCCGCTGGGAGGCAGCCCCTCACTCCGCGTCTGAGCGCTGGGTGGGATTCTCGCCGAGAGTCGAGCCTCATTTCTGTCGGCTTCGGAGAGGAGAACTGACTGGCTTCTGTGCGGGGATTTCTTGTTCAGTCAACACTGGAGGCCCGGGTCGACCGCCCGCGTGGGCCCTTGGAGCAGTGACAGACTTGCGTGCTGTTAGCATCGCTAGCCCGCAGCCCGCGAGGCGGCCAGCAGGGCCGCGGGAGCCTGTCGAGCTTGGTGACGCCGGAATTTGGGACAAGGACTGAAACGACATTTTTCAGCTTGGCTGTGGGGAAAGTGGTGATGGGTGCGGTGGATGAAGGGACACTGCAGGAGGGGAAGCCTCCTTTCAGCCTCTCCTAAGGAAACCTCCAGTGGGACCGACTTCCTCTGCAGTCTGTCTACGCCTCAGATTCCGCTTCTGTGTGCACAGGATGCAAGCCTCTGGGTTCTTGCATTAATAAGCCCCTTTATAAATGTCAGATGAGAGCGCTAAAGACCTTTTCACCAGCCACTTTTCAATCTTGTTATTTTAATGCTTGCCTCTAACCTAGGCTTCATAGAAATGCAAAAGGTAATGAAGTATTTCACATGATGTTCTCTGTCTTTCTATTATAATTTAAATCTATCATTGAGTGTGTGCTTTAAAAACGGTGTTTACTGGAGCTGGAGCGCAAGCGCTTATTCCATGCAGCCCAGAAATGCATATCTGGGCTTGTATTTTAGGCATGTTATGTATGTTATCATTGTACCCAATCGGCACAGTGAGAGGAGAAGTATATTTTAAACTCTTTAGGCTTCAGTTTTAACCTGTAAATCTATGAGTTCTCTGTAATGTACCCCACTGGGTCAAGGCAGACCTACTATCCTATCGTCTCAAGAGCTGGAAAGCAGGACCGTGACCCCAGCATCCTGAGTCAGGCTCTCCGCTTTACCTTGATGTGGTGACTCCTCCCTCCATTGGCTTTTTTTTTTTTAAGCTATAAAAGAGGTGGGGGAAAGGAATAGTGGTTTCTACGTTATGTTGCAGAGCAGTTAAGTCATTTATTAGTATCAAAAAGATTTCTAAGTGATCAGTCTGGTTTATCGAGCATATGCTACACGTCTGATGGTGTGAGCTGCAAGAGTGTGCAGCAGCTCTCCGTCTGCTGAGACAGGCCCAGGAATAGAAACCACGCAACCCCAAGCTGCGTGTAAGACAGGGGTCTTACACAGAAGCTTCCTACCAGCTGTCTGTCTGCTTTGTCTGTGCTGATGGACGCATTTCAGTGTTACTGCCTCAACTCACCCCACCTTCTCCTTCCCCCGCTGTGCCCACAGGTCTGTTCTCTAGGTATGTGGCTCTACTCCTGTCCAACAAATAGGTTCATCCGTACCATTTATGGCTCATCCGTACCATAGATTCCATATATGTGTTAATATACAATATTTGTTTTTCTCTTTCTGACTTACTTCACTCTGTATATAACAAGCTATCAGGTCCTCCACCTCACTGGAACTGACTCAAATTTGTTCGTTTTTGTGGCTGAGTAATATTCCATTGTATATATGTACCAGCACTTAACCTGCAGGGATGGGAGGGAGGGGACATAAGGATGCTTAAGGCTGATTCCCATTGTCATATGGCAGACACCAACATAACACTGTAAAGCAGTCATTCTCCAACTAAAAATTAATTAAAGAAATAAAAAGCACCAGATTTAGAATAAAAAATCGAGTATGAGAATTGGGCGGGGGGGGTGGGGGGAATACAACGTGATAAAGAAAAGCGTGAAACAGAGAAACCTGTTAGTTCCATACTGTGAACCAGAGGAGGGAGCAATGGGAATCATCACCAAGACCCTTCGGGAAAAGAGAGGAGATGGTAGCTCTTAGTGTGACAAGGGGCTTCCTGCATAGCTCAGTTGGCAAAGCGTCTGCCTGCAATGTGGGAGATCTGGGTTCAATTCCTGGGTCGGGAAGACTCCCCTGGAGAAGGATATGGCAACCCACTGCAGAATTCTTGCCTGGAGAATCCCATGGACAGAGGAGCCTGACAGGCTGCAGTTCATGGGATCACAGGAGCCGGACACGGGATTATAAGAGTTTGATAAAAGGGAGTAAGGAAGGTTAGGACTCTCCAGACAAAGAAAGGAGCAAGTGTACAATCACCATTAAAGAAAGCTCAGTGTATCTTGGGACCAATGAGAAACTGAGTGTGTCTAAAGCGTGAGGTGCAAGGCAGGGGCAACGGGAGTGAGGGGTGAGCAGGGGTGAGAACAAGGATGCCTTGACCTGCTGTGCGGTATGCACAGCATATGCGGTATCCTGTAGCCACCTGAAAGCCACGGAGAACTGAAATCTGGAAGTGATATCAAGTGTTTGAAGGGAGTCCAATCTGGTGTCATGTGGATGAAAGGTGAGTGGGGCATGAAGATTAATATAGCAATTTAGGTGAAGAAAGGTGCTGGGTGAATATAATGGGTGAAAAGATGGAGAAGGGGGCTGCATCCAGGAAATATTTCCAAAGTAGAATTGCTAGTATTTAGTGATGTTTTTAAGAACATAGTGAGAGTAAGAACTGATTTAGAAGGAAAATTTGTGAATATGGGTAAAATTTGTCTCCAGTCCTCTGGAATGCACTTTGTGGGATTTGGCATCTCTCCCATGAGACATTCAATCAAAATCTTCTCCTAGACCCTTAAATCAGACTAATGTGAATCTAGTGATTACTGATTATAGCTTGAAATACTACTCCTGTGTGGTGGGATTTATGTTTTACTTGTAACTTTTAATATTATTATATTTCTAATTTTATTATTTATATTTTATTACGAACACAAAAATTTGTCCACCAAAATACTCGTGAAAGTGGATTATATAATGGAATCATTATAACAGTAATGATTTGTTGAATCAACAGTGTATGTCCAAAGGTGACATCTAGAATAGCCATCTAAAAATATGTAGAAATACATTTATTAAAAAGTTGTTCAAAATATATTATGGAGAAAAAAAACCTACTTACAAATAATAATTAAGTAGGTAATTATTAGTCGCCCAGTCATGCCCGACTCTTTGCGACCCCATGGACTGCAGCCCACCAGGCTCTTCTGTCCATGAGATTTTCCAGGTAAGGATACTGGGGTGGATTGCCATTTCCTTCTCTGGGGGATCTTCCAAACCCAGGGATCGAACCCGGATCTCCTGCACTGCAGGCAGATTCTTTACCGTCTGAACTACAAAGGAAGCCCACTTACCAATAATACAGAGGGTATAATTCCATCTTCTAAAAGTAGATACTTTTAAGTGTGTTTCCAGGCAGAGACAAAACAAATATTCCCCCCAAATGCTGGCAGGGATTATGTTTGTGTGAGAAGTGAAATTATCAATGACTTTCATTTTCTTAATCATGTCATCTGACAGGTTCCCAATTTTTAATAATATGTGTATTGAAATGTTAAATGGGAATTTCCCATGAAGCACCAAGGTATAAATGGCTATGTTATTCCAAAGTGAGATTCTGGACCAAGTTGCAAAATTTCAAGATCATTTCAAAAGCAGTTTCAGAACTTTTAATAACCTCATCCATGGTGAGGGATTCAAGTGCCAGATGTTGACAGTCAGTGGTGTAGGGGTTCTAGAGGGGCTTCTTTGAAAAGACATGTACCATGGGCCCCATCCCACCAAGGAGGAGAGGGGAAGGCATGCTTCTCTTTCCTCTCTAGCCAAGAAGAGAGAGTTTCAAGAGGACCACTGGACAAATTTGATGTGTGACACTTCTAGTTGAAGGATGATGGCCTCATGTCTGACTCCCATCCGAAAAATTGAAAGAGCTAATGGACAGTCTAGATCTTGGCAGATTAACTTAAGTTAAGGTGGCTGCTTTTAGTATCAGCCCTACTTCCAGAGCTTGTGAGGATAAAGAGCAGGTAGTCATTTCCTGTGGTCCACAGTGGGCTACAAGCAAAAGAGCCAACATGGGAGCCGTGAGGCCCTGCTCAGTAGAGAGCTGAGGGGACAGACAGAAGTCCAGCACGTCTCTGGATCCCTAGGGACTTCGGACGGAGTAAGTAATGTGATCGGGAGTGATGGTGGTGGTGTAGTTGCTAAGTTGTATCCTACTCTTGTGAGCCCATAGATTTCCCTGGCGGCTCAGACGGTAAAGCGTCTGCCTACAATGCGGGAGACCTGGGTTCAATCCCTGGGTTGGGAAGATCTCCTGGAGAAGGAAATGGCACCCCACTCCAGTACTCTTGCCTGGAAAATCCCATGGATGGAGGAGCCTGGTGGGCTACAGTCCATGGGGTCGCAAAGAGTTGGACACGACTGAGCGACTTCACTTGACTTGTGAACCCATAGACTGTAACCCACCAAGCTCCTCTGTCCATGGAATCTCCCAGGCGAGAATACTGGAATGGGTTGCCATTTCTATCTCCAGGGGATCTTCCCATCCCAGGGATCTAACCCGCATCTCCTACACTGCAGGCATTCCTAACTCCTGAGCCGCTGGGGAAACACTTAGGAGTAATGAGTCACCACTTTATAGGAATTGCATGTTAGGGACCCCCAGTATAGGTGATGGGTGGCCCTCGAGAGAAGCCAGGAAAATTTCTGTTAGAGACTATGTCTCCAGCCACGGTCAGAAATATTGAAAGCATCTTATAACAGTACCAATCCAAAGAGAGTATATTCATGTCTCTCCTTCCTTCCTCGGATTCAATGTTGGAGGGATCAGAAGCCATAGTTAGTAAGGAGAGAGAAGGGATGAAAGCCATAGCAAGGAAGAGAGAAAAGAAGGACCGTGCTCCCGTTTCTCCAGCTTCCTGCTTAACAACTAGGGAGAGGATTTAACTTTTAGTGACATTTGGAATTTTGATATTGTAAGATTAGGCGTTTTTAATATAGCATCAAGAATAGGCTTGGATATTTATGGTACATATAGAATTATTACCTAAGGGTCACTGAAAAAATCATGAAACTATTTGACTTCATCGATGGACATGTAAAAGACCATCCTCCCACCTTATGAAAACATTTTAAGGAGATTGTTGGGGGCGGGGAAGCTGCTTTAATTTTATCAAGCAAGTTCTGCTCGT